AACAGTTTGTCACAGCCCCTCGTTTGTTGTCCTCTTCTCCCTCTCTGCCTACGGTTTACCGGGCAGTTCTATTTGACGATATATATATATCGTATTCTATCACACCATAAATAGGTAAAACACACAAAAATTGAAACCGAATGTCTGGAGGACCTTACTTTGAGAAACGGTGCCACTAGACTTCGTATTCTATCGGCTAGTGCTCTGGCTCCTATGACTCCATGCAGTAAGTCATCCGCATAGCGGACATAGTGAATCCTTCTAAAATGACTTCAGCGAGCCGACAAATGCGATGGTCGAAGGTGCATCTTGAAGGCTGCTCTTTGATCGCCGTCGGATCTTCGCAGTGAGCCTTTTTGTCCGCAATCTCGATTGGATTATGAATTGTTTGTTTGCTTGATTGATTGATGGATTGAAGGAAGACGAACAAGAAGAAGAGGAGGAGGAGGAGGGGGCCGCGGTGATGGAGGATCAGATGCTGTTGCGATGGAGGAGGAGGAGGAGAGGTAGAAAAGGGGGAGGAAGAGGAGGAAGCGAAGGAGGTGGAGGAGGAGAGAGGACGAGGAGGAAGCAGAGGAGGAGAGATGAAGAGGAGGAAGGACGAGCATGAACAGGGGGAGATGAGGGGAGAATGGAGACTCACCTGGTGCAGGCGGGTGATGGCATATGGAGTTGCTGGCAGCGGCATCGGTGTTTGGCAACAGCAGTGCCGAACTCCGTCGACGGGGCGGGGTGAAGTCGTGCACGGGGAAGGGTGCTGCACCCACTGGAGTTCGAATTTGAAAATGACCAAATCTGGGCTGCTGATCTCGAAGATGTGGGCCGTCAATCTGAAGATTTGACGGCCTAGATTGGGCCGTTTTTTTTTGGAGTTCGGAGGCCCTACCGGCCTCCTGAAAAGAAATCCATTGCCCACCCGCCATATTAGCCCCGGACCCGGACACCGGACACCGGACACTTCCGGACTGTCTTCCGGACCAGTGCCTGGACCGGTGCGGACTGTCCGGTGATCCGGACATCACCGGACACCGTCCAGTCCGGACCGGTCCCCGGGCTGCAGAAATGTCCGGACGCAAAAAAAAAAAAAAAAAAAGGGGGGGGGGGGGGGGTTGGGTGGGGGTGTTGGCAGGCACTTACCTGCTTTGCACTCTGTAGTTCAGGCAGCAGAGCACGTGTCTTGCAGCAAATCAACCAGCACATTTAACTAGCAGTTCGAACTTTGGAGTTCAATTCTGAACGTCAGAGTCTTCAGACTGGCAGCACTGTCAGTGCTCTCTCTCTCTCTCTCTCTCTCTCTCTCTCTCTCTCTCTCTCTCTCTCTCTCTCTCTCTCTCTCTCCTGTCTCTTATACACATCTAGATGTGTATAAGAGACAGCTCTCTCTCTCTCTCTCTCTCTCTCTCTCTCTCTCTCTCTCTCTCTCTCTCTCCCCAACGGGCAGCAGCGGGGAGCGCCACGTCGAAACGGCCGCTTTGAAATTGCTCGGGCCTGTGCGAAACCAGCCACCTCAAAACCCTGCAGTGTCTTGTGTCCGGACCTCTGGGCTATGTCCCCGGTGGGGTAAAACGGCACTAAAAAATCACCCGGTTATTTTTTGAGTGGCGGCCAGGACCTGATGAATGTCCTGGGCCACGTCGTTTTCTTTTTTTTTTTTTCGCCCCAGGGGCCTCCGTCCATACATGAGGACCGGACACCGGCTGTCTGAAACCCGGTCCGTACGTCCGGACGGTTACCATGCCCCCCGCGCTTCGGAACGCCTTGCGCCCAAACCATGTGCCACCAAAGGGATGCAAAAGCGCCCCCCCTCCCATCTTTCCCAACTGTCGGACATTGGCCCCCTGGTGGATGGTTGGGCCGGTTGTCGGACCGGACATCTGGGACGCTCAGGGGGATCCCAGACATCCGATCCGGTCACATAGGATGAAATCGGTTATTGCAAGAGTATCAGAAAAGAAACTACAATGGGACCTAGGTTTGGCAAAACTCAGTGTGCAGTGAAATTCAGGTTCGGCAAAAACAGGGCTCAGAGGCAGTGGTGGAAAAAAAAAATAAAAAAAATGTGAGGGGTACTGCATGCTGTCAGAGGCATAAATACATCTATTCTCAAGGGTGTTGCATGATTTCAGAGGCATGAGGGCATAGCTTTCTTACCATAGCGCTGGTCTATAGCGGCTATAGGCAGATCTTGAGAGTGTACTTGCAGGCCCGTACTCCCGATGCAATGGTCAGGCTAGATCTTGAGAGTGTACATGCAGGCCCGTACTCCCAATGCAATGGTCAGGCTGGTGATATGCTAGCCATGTAAACACTTTGCTTGCCGGTTTGACAAAGGTCTGTTCACTGGAGAACCTACACATTGTACACATTTTTGTCTCCTGTCTTTGCGGAGAGCATACCTCCTCGCTTCCTTTTGTTGTCGTGCATCCTTTCTCCCGCTTTCTCACTTTCCCTGAACGTCATCGTTTTACCTCTCACTTTCATTTCCTCTCATTTTGACAATTTATTTCACTGTGCAGGCAGTTCTTGAATTAGATTATTAGAAACAAAAAAAAATACGAAAGAAAAGAAAAGAAAAAGACAATGAACCTCTCGACTTGTAAGTCTGTATGTCTATGTATGTGTGAAGTTTAAATGGAACGCGGGATGCCACCTAATCCTGCCGAACACTTGAGTGGAGCCGATGGCACTGGCTCTTGGGGAGGGCTACGATGCTGCTCCGCTATGAAACTTATTCCGGATTGGGAATCCAACTACAGGCCTAGGGCTGGATCAGGGTTTGTCCCTGTTTTTCAAAGAATTCATTTCTGATGGAGATTCAGCCACCGTCTTCACCCTATATATAGAATGCCCGGTTATTTTATCTGTACCTACACTGAAAGTTGCACCAAATGTAGCTGTAATGACCGCGCGTTCCATGCGGGTGAAGACGGTAGGGCCTCTACGGCAGCATCAGGGTTTGTCCATGCGGGTGAAGACGGTAGGACCTCTAAGGCAGGATCAGGGTTGTCCATGCGGGTGAAGACGGTAGGGCCTCTACGGCAGGATCAGGGTTTGTCCATGCGGGTGAAGACGGTAGGTTCTCTACGGCAGGATTAGGGTTTGTCCATGCGGGTGAAGACGGTAGCGCCTCTACGGCAGGATCAGGGTTTGTCCCTGGTCTTTGAAAGAAGCAAATCTCTGAGAAAGCTTAAGTACAGTCAGTGTTCTCCTCATTGCCTTCTTTCTGTTGCCTCCACTGACTGATATCGACTGTTGAATGTTTTTCTTGTGTCCATGTGGCATTGCAACATGCAGCATCCAACTGGTAGTGCTGCTGCAGAGGTGAGAATGTCGAATTGAATCACGCTCCTTTTTTTCCTTTCACTCTTCTACATGAAGTTACTTCTCTTCAGTTGCCCCGATGTCCTTGCTTTTCCCAGCCATTTGCCCAGCCCTGAGATTTTTTGCCTGCTCTTCGACTCTAATTGAGTCTAATATCTGAAACCAATCTAAAAACCTGTCCGTTTCCAAGCTATTTTGTTCCGATGTGCGTGTTAGTACGCTACAGAATTGCGGGTGGGCTTGTACTGGACGGAAAAGGCTGGGGCTGCCAGGCAGCAGATCGATCTGGGGTGAGCAGAACTAGCATGTGTTAAAAGTACGCCTCGAGGAAAGGAGGCTCTGATAGACCTGTTGTGTAGAGTGACTAAGATGAGAGTGAAAAAAAGACTGTAGATGAGGCTGTTAAGTCGTGGCTCTCTTTTTCTTGCACTGTTTGCTCTGCGTACTCAGATTTGTTCACTTTGCATTCACATACCTGCCAGAACAAAGCACTGCTGAGGTTCACTGGTGTGGTTCCCTTGGAGGGAAATAATAGATGGCAATTGTTCCCTCTCTCTCTCTCTCTCTCTCTCTCTCTCTCTCTCTCTCTCTCTCTCTCTCTCTCTCTCTCTCTCTCTCTGTGTGTGTGTGTGTGTGTGTGCGCGCGCAATACTGAGATAATGTGTCTGCATGTGCACGGTTGGTTGGATATTTCAGCATGCTGCCAATCTTGCCAGTGGTGGAACGGGAGTGTCGCTTGGCTCTACACCTCCAGGGTTGGCATCAGCTCCGGGCACCACCCTCGCAGATGGAGACCTCCCAAGCGTAATGACGTGCGCAAACTACTTGAAGTTGCCTCCCTACTCCTGCAAGGTATGTTTCCCTCAGAGAGTAATTGAATGACCAGTCAACGTGGGGTGTGCAGTTCACCACTTGGACTTGAACCCTTGCCATATTGAAAAGGAACATCGCAACCTGAGAACCACGAACAGCATGGATTTAGAGTTCATGAAACGCATGGGTTTGAACTTTGAAATGATGCTTTGTACTTGTCGTCCTGATTTGAACTTCTCTTTTTTTTATGTGAAGGGGCTGTGAGCTTGCGATTTTAACGGTAGGCGATTGAACTACTAGAACTGGTGGGTTGTTTCGATCAGAGGTGGGTGTTGAACAGGAAGCAATGTCGGCAAGATCTCAATTGCTCTATGCAATTTACGGACTGACGATTGCCCCTGAGGTTGTGTAAGAGATCAAGGAGCTCGCTCCTTGTACATGTGGTTGGATCTTAAAGCACCAGTACATGGGCACCTGGGCCACAGGCCTTACACCTCAAATTCTGGAGGGGCGAAATGCAAACGCGAGCGCCGATCAAATTTATCAACGGCGGGCCCAGTGTTTGATGTGTCGGTCTCGTTTTCTTGTGGCGACAAGTTTCGGACTGCAAGGCTGGGGCCGTGTGCTTGCGGTTTAAAGGGAGGTGCTTGGACTACTAGAATAGGTGGGCTGTTTTTCCGATCAGACGTGGGTGTTGACCACCGCCTGTCGTGAATGGAAAGCGATGTTGGCAAGATCTCGATCGTTGTGTGTTGTAGTTTACAGACTGGGGACGATTGCCCCTGCGGTTTTGTAAGAGGTTAAGGAGCTCGCTCCTTGTACAGGTGGTTGGATCTTCTTCTTCTTCTTCTTCTTCTTCTTCTGCTTCTGCTTCTTGTGTATTCGCTGTTGCTTTTGAGGGCAACCAAGAGATTAAGGAGCTCAGTCATTGGAGCTCACTCATTGTCTATATGTGATTGGATCTTGTTCGTCTTTTGTGTGTTTCCTGTTGCTTGCCAGGGCATTATGCATGAGAGGCTGATGTATGCCATCCATGAAGGTCAAGGATCTTTTGATCTGTCGTAATTCGCTCTGTAAAGCCTTGTTGTTGTCATCCTCCCTCTATCAAGTGATGGATCACGTGGCACATCCGTCAATCGAAGAGCGAGATTCTGTGCTGTTGGCGGCCAAGCAAGTTGCCTTATTGAGTGGCGAAGGGTGTGCATGCTCATTTGAGAGGAGAAAAAGGTTGCGGCCGAACAAGTGGAAGTCAAAGAGGGCGAAGAAAGTTAAGAAGATGAAGATGGTGAAGAAGAAAAACAACGAAGAAAGAAGAGGCCAACGTAAAGTCCATCCAGATGAGCTGGCTGCCTCTTCCCGTCTCGGTCGTGCGCTGTGAATGTTTAGGTCCACGAGGGTTCTCTCTTCCATAATTGCCCATGCACTACTGTCTGTGCATGGTGGTTTGTAGAACTTGGTTCTTCTTTGGGAAGGGGGGAAAGGCGGGGAAGGGTGGTTCGGCGCTGAGGGCTGGCTTCGATATGGGTGGGTAATGAATAGCCACCAGCTGCCCCAGTGCTTTGGGCGGACGATTGATGCTTTGTGTGGGATTTTTGCGTCTTTGCTCTCGTGTCCTGTAAAGCGGAGAAGCTCCCAGACATTCATAGAATAAGTGTCAGTGCAATGTGCTGCCACAACCTTGCCGATTAAAACAGGAAAGAAAGAGTCAGAAGGGAATGGGGTGTGTGGAGGAGGAGGAGAGAGGAGGTGGTGCACAGGTGAAATGGATGTTCGTTATAATCGGTGCGCACTGCGCATAGATGGTGTCCATCCTTTAAGATGCTGCCTGATATTCTGAGGTCTTCCTTCCGGGTTGTTTCTCCCTCTCCTAGCGTCCAGGAGAATTTGGAAGATGCCATCCGATTCCCTCTCCTACACAGTCTCACCTACAGCTGTGCACTTAAATCCTGGAGTACAACCATGGTGCCGCCCTACTGTCATGGCGCGCCCTGACGCAGACATGGTCAGGTTTTTCGTCTTCTTTCTTCTCTCAAGACAGGTGCCAGGTGGTGTAGATTACACGTAAGCTCCTCCTCCCATTGTAACGATCCACAACACGTGCTTGGTGCCGCATCCCCACTATTTCTCCTCGTTAAACTCCGCTGAATCTCTCCCCATAAGCAGAGGGAGTTCGGCAATGCTCATAGGTGCTTACATAGAGTGTCCGTACTGACTGCTCCAGAAAAAAACGGTAGTAGCGGAGATATTAGCAGTGGCAAAGAGTCTCCCTCTGCCTCGGTCGCATTCCCTAGCTTTTCAGATTTGCATGTGTATTCTTTGATTCCGTCGTCCTGCATGCGAGAAAGGTGTGGACGTTTGCTTGTGCGAATGTGAGTGCGCTTCCTGTCGATCGGTGTTCATGCCTGCCGACGCGCTCTCGTCAGGATATTCACTGCTGATGTGAAAGATCTCCTGCCGTGTGACCTATACCAGAAGTGCTAGCGGAATGTAACACTTGCTGTCTCTAGGGATATGGCATATAAACTGCCTGCCGAAAGCCAAGCGTCGTCGTCTGTGTGGTGGCAGGAAGGGTGGCAGGAAGGGTTCAATGTGGTGTATAAAAGGCGAGGTTGGTTTGTACAGGCAGCAAGGCAGAATACGAGGAAAGAAAATCGGGAGCTGGCAACTTTTTTCTGTGAGGACTCTTTTCTCGCCCGTTTTATCTCATTCCAATCCAATGAACGCGTTCTTGACAAACATAGAGAAGATGTTTCTTCTGATTTCATGTTGTTTGTTGCTTTAATGTGTGTTGACTTCCGTGCAGCAGCTAAGAGTCTGTTTACTTACGTCTTGCATCCGTTTGCTGCCGTGTGTTCTGTGCCTTCTCTCCTCAGTTGTGCACTTGAAAATAAGTAAATGAATAAATCCCCTCCCCTTCCCCCCCCCCC